TTGATCTTGGCTGGAAGTCCAAGATCAAGGCACCAGAAGATTCGGTGTCTGGTGAGAGTCTGCTTCCTGGTTTGTAGGTGGCCGTCTTCTCACTGTGTCCTCACACAGCAGAAGGGTCCAAGGAGCTCTCTGGGGTCCTTTTTATAAGGGCAAATCCCATTCCTGGCCACCTCCAAAAGGCCCACCTCCAAACACCATCACATTGGGGATTAGGTTTTGACGTGAATTTTGGGGGGACACAAACCTTCAGTCTGTAGCAGTCCCCATGACCACCCTAGGTTCAGAGATTCACTAGGAGGCCTCCCAGGCTTCGGTGTATAGTCTGCTCATGGATGTGATTTCTGACTGCAAGAATAAAGCAAAGTCAACAAGATTGGGTACCTTTCTCCCTGCATTGAGACTGTCCTAATCCCTTCTTGTCTGGTCTGCCTTAGAGTCCCAGCTAAGCCCCTGCTGGGCAATCAGCCTCTGAAGGTCATCCGAAATAGGTTTTCAAAAGAGCTTTTTAGCAAACTGAAAACTTCTACCTAAAATTCCAAAAGTATATCTTTACTTAAAGATTGCCTGTTTTTTCATTTTGTTTACCTCTTTTTTAAAATTATTTATTTATTTATTTATTTATTTATTTATTTTTGGCTGTGTTGGGTCTTCGTCGCTTCATGCGGGCTTTCTCTAGTTGCAGTGAGTGGGGACTACTCTTCATTGCGGTGCATGGGTTTCTCATTGTGGTGGCTTCTCTTGTAGCAGAGCACAGGCTCTAGGCGTGTGGGCTCAGTAGTTGTGGCTCATGGGCTCTAGAGTGCAGGCTCGGTAGTTGTGGCACATGGGTTTAGTTGCTCCATGGCATGTGAGATCTTCCTGGATCAGGGCTTGAACTCGTATCCCCTGCATTGGCAGGCAGATTCTTAACCACTGCACCACCAGGGAAGTCCCTGTTTACCTCTTTTTGAACCTCCAGTGAGTAAAAGTCATAGTAAAAAATCATTTATGGAGACCTAATCTTGTTTCTGATACTTAGGGTTCCAATTCCAATCCAGGCACCAGTTGGAAACAGCAAGGAAGCTGTGTCTCATTTTTCTTAGCACTGATGGGGATGATCTCTCTAGCATTTATAAAATTACAAGCAGATACCATTAGTATCCATTTTTACCATCCAAGCAGGTGCAGTAGCCACAAAACAAAACCATATTAAGTAAAAAAAAAAAAAAAATCCCCCCCCTTTTTTCCCTCATTGCAGTCAAACCTTGTGTTCATTTCCAAGGGCTGCCATAACAAATTACCACAATGTGGGTGTTCTCTCACATTTCTGGAGGCTGAAGTCCGAAATGAAGGTGTTGGCAGGATCATGCTCCCTCAGAATTCTCTAGGGTCCTGGGGTCATTTCCTGTCTCTTATACTTTCTGTATCCCCAGGCGTTCCATTGCTTGTGGCAGCATGATTCCAGTCTCTGCGTCCATCTTCTTCCTCTGCTGCCTTCTCTGTGTGGCTCTGTCTTCACATGGCATTTTCCCTGTCTCCTATGGATACCAGTCATTGGATTAGGGCCCATCCTAATGACCTCATCTTAGTTTGATTACATTTGCAAAGACCCTGTTTCCAAGTAAGGTCACATTTATAGGTATCAGGGGTTAGGATTTCAGCCTATCTCTGTAAACGTATTTAGCGTTTACAGGGATAGCGTTACAGCTGGGAAGATACTGGCTGGCACATGTGGGTGGGCCAGGAGGCCCAGCAGCTAGGCTGAAGAAAGGCTGGCTGTCCCCTCCCCTTTGGTTTGTCTAAAATTTTGTTTCAGCTCTAGGAACTGATTTAACTTTTTTTCTCCTGATGCAGTACAATCTTTTTTAACATTTTTTGCCTATCCAAAGCTCACTTTTGGGAACTTGCCAGCCTTTTCTCCTCCTGCCTAGAAGAGAGAGCAAAAATCACAGGTGTCACCTGTGCTGAACTTTGATTTTCTTCTCACTTGGCCTCCATGGCCACAGGCAGCTGGTATATCCAGTGAGCCAGACCTCCTGGAGTTGGATTGCTTATTTTTACCGCAGTCAACGTTTTTTTTTTTTTTTGCCCCGGCACAGCTTGTGGGATCTTAGTTCCCCGACCAGGGATGGAACCCAGGCCCCAGCAGTGAAAGCGCCGAGTCCTAACCACTGGACAGCCAGGGAATTCCCACACCTCAGTCAACTTTTAGCCTCACACCAGACAGCTGCCCTTTCATACCTGGATGACTCCATAGCTACCCTGCTGCAAAGGTTTGCCATCCCCTCCTCCTTCACTCTCCCACTTCCCAGACAGTGCTTTTGCCATATTTTAGTGAATCAGGGTTGCTCTAGCAAATCCCAGTTCTAATGTGTCTGGTGTCCCCAAAACCACCCCTAGGTCCTGCAGGTAGGACTCACGTGACAGCATATTGTTGGAGTCATGACTATGATTTGTTACAACAAAAGAGCACAGCAGAATCAGCAAAGGGAAAAGGCTCATGAGGAGAAATCTGAAGGAAACCAGGTGCAGGCTTTTAAGAGTCCTTTCCCAGTGGAGTCGCACATAACACACCTGATAGCCCCAGGGATGAGTCGTGACAGCATGTGAAATACCATCTACCGGAGGCTCACTGGGGACTCAGTTCACCGGGGGCTTTTATCAGCTCACAGCTGATCATGTGAGCATCCTCTGCACAACAAGGACCCAAAGCCCAGACTCCCAGGCGAAAAGCAGGTGCTCAGCACTAACAGTGTTGTCTGCACAGTCAGAGACAGGGAGTAATAATTAGGGTGATGTGAAACCTTCAGAAATTAAAGTTCCCACACACTGGCCAAGGCCAACCTTGCTAGCAGTCACTGCCAAGGATAAAGTTAAGGTTTGCAATGTCAACTCCTTTCCTGCACACTAAGTAGAGGAAACACTACAGATAACTGTACAGAGAGCATCTCACCTCCAGAAGCTCCTGTTGTTCCCTGTACAGTAGAGATATTCCTGTTATGCTGCTACTCCGTTGAATATGTACTAAATACTGGCATCAGGATTATTATATGAGAGTGTTTTCTTTCCCATGCTCATGGATGTCAGCGGGTTGATGAACTTTTTAAAAAACCATGGCTTAAGGGAGGCATGCAGCTCAGTGGTCCCTGTGCTTAGGGGTTGGCCTGACACGCTCATGTGCCCACCAGGGGAGGGACATGGACGTGAGAGAAATTGAGAGTGCAGCCTCTAGGATGGTTTGTGTGGAATCACTGTCTCCTGGAATTTGAGGCAAGGGAGTGTTTCCTTTGTAGGAAAACACTGCTGAATCTTCTATATATTTTATACTCAAGGCTAAATTTGCTGTCAGATGTTTTCTTTTTTAAATTAATTAATTAATTTCTTTTTGTCTGTATTTGGTCTTCGTTGCTGCACGTGGGCTTTTCTCTAGTTGTGGTGACTGGGGGCTACTCTTCGTTGTGGTGCGTGGGCTTCTCATTGTGGTGGCTTCTTTTGTTGTGGAGCACGGGCTCTAGGCACGCGGGCTCAGTAGTTGTGGCGCATGGGCTTAGTTGCTCCGTGGCACATGGGATCTTCCCAGACCAGGGCTCGAACCTGTGTCCCTTGCATTGGCAGGCGGATTCTCAACCACTGCACCACTAGTGAAGCCCACTGTCAGATGTTTTTGATGTTAAAGTCCTTTGCAAAGTACAGCTCTTAACCTTATCCTCAAGGTTAGATAGAGTACTCTTTTATGGGTCTGGTAGAAGAGCTGTTTTGGCATCATGTAATGTGTGTGTGTGTGTGTGAACTCAGAACTGGTGGGCAGCAGCACTGGCTCAGGAGTGTAGGGAACATATGCAGTTCTGACTTCCTATTTTCATGAAAATAGAGGAAAAGAGTAGAAACTGAGCTGGTGATAACTATTACACAAAAATGTTAAAATAAATACTTCTTCAAAAGAAATATTTCATTCAGCCAGTTGGACTGTCCTGATAGCCTGGTGTTCTTTAAGACAGTATGGCTTGGATGGACCTAGAGTCTGTCATACAGAGTGAAGTAAATCAGAAAGAGAAAAACAAATACCATATGCTGACACACACACACACACACACATATATATATATATGTATATGGAATCTAAAAAAAAAAAGGCTCTGAAGAACCTAGGAGCAGGACAGGAATAAAGATTCATATGTAGAGAATGAACTTGAGTACACGGGGAGGGGGAATGGTAAGCTGGGACGAAGTGAGAGAGTAGCATGGACATATATACACTACTAAATGTAAAATAGATAGCTAGTGGGAAGCAGCTGTATAGCACAGGGAGATCAGCTCGGTGCTTTGTGACCACCTAGAGGGGTGGGTTAGGGAGGGTGGGAGGGAGACGCAAGAGGGAGGAGATATGGGGATATATGTATACATATAGCCAATTCACTTTGTTATACAGCAGAAAGGAACACACAACTGTAAAGCAATTATACTCCAATAAAGATGTTAAAAACAGAAAGACAATATGGCTAGCAGGCCCTTGCAGCAAGTTGGGTTCCCACAGGCCCATGGGCCTCTCATATTTGGTGGTGGAAAGAGAAGGAAAAGTTCCCAGTCCTTCATTGTGTTTGTATTCCTTAAACCTCATCCAGGTTGACCTTGGGCTTCATGTGCTTATGGATGTTGTACAGTAGGAAGGAGCTAAAGTCACTTGTGTCACAAGGGATTGATGGGTCTTAAGATGCAAATATTATTTCATTTGTATAGCATTTTTTTTTCGTTTCTCCAATGTGGTCTAAACCCTTTGGTTGGAGAAGAATAAGCCTTGAGTGGTCACAGTAAAAGTGTAGAGATAAGTTCAGTGTGTTAGTGCTGTTAAATCTATGAGGATAATCTATGATTGTTGACATAAAGTAGGAGGTGTGATGACTGGATCACAGAGTAGATGTTAGATGACCATGGAATCTTATTTGAACTTCCTGTGACTTGAGTCCAGTTGTTCAATGCTGTGAGTCTCACCCATGCACCTGCACATATCTTGGGTGTTTCAGAACTCGGTGGTCTTTGAGGATGTGGCCGTGGACTTCAATCTGGAGGAGTGGGCTTTGCTGGATTCTGCTCAGAGGGAGCTCTACAGAGATGTGATGCTGGAAAACTTCAGAAACCTGGCCTCAGTGGGTAAGAATGACATTATTCCTTCACTTAGTCATTTAGAGACAAGCATTTCTGGCACATCACTGTTCCAAGAATTGGACCGTGGAAAGGAAATATGTTAACTAATAAGACAGCCATGGTCATAACCATCATAGACTTAGAATCTAATAGTTTCTCCCCATGAGACTGAGAATCTGTGTATTAAACTGAGTTCTTGTTTCTGTAAAGAAAGCTCCCTTAGCATCATTGGTGGATATAGATTTCATGGGGCCTTAGGGGGCCCAGTGAGGTCTGTTTTTGAACCATATGAGAATTTTACTGTGTTTGTTAAAGTGCTTACCATTTTGACCCCTTATACTTGTTATTGATGAAGTCTTGACATAGCTAAACTCCTCTGTGTCCTTTTTGGCTAACAGGTACCTCCTTTCTTGTAAGATTTGTTACCTTTTTGCTTTCAGAGGATGAGACTCAATTTAAGGCCAATGGGTCAGTTTCTCAGCAGGATATTTATGGGAATAAAATATCCAAGGAGCATAAAATATCAAAGTTCACTGGAAATGATTCCTTGGCCTCCGTCTTAGGAAAAATTTGGGAAGAACTCAGCCTTGAAGATCAGCACATAGATCAAGGGAGACATCTGAGGTGAGTTGCACTCTTGAGAGAAAGCAGTATTTCAGGAGGGAATCTTAGTATGTCATAAAGTTTAAAAAGCAAACAAACAAAACACATGTAAGCCTAGATCAAATTTGTTTATTCATAGAGATTTTCACGATGATTTTTTTCTTAAATGCGACATTGATGTTGAGTGATAGAAACAGCTGAAAACAACAGAAGAGCCCATGTTTAAGAAACATTGTTTTTGTAATCGTTGTGGTTGAGCCCCCTTCTGTGGCATTGAGTTCATTCCACTTTAAAAGTAGTCAGATAGGGCTTCCCTTGTAGCACAGCGGTTGGGAATCCTCCTGCCAGTGCAGGGGACGTGGGTTCAAGCCCTGGTTGGGGAAGATCCCACATGCTGTGGAGCAACTAAGCCCGTGCACCACAACTACTGAGCCTGTACTCTAGAGCCTGTGAGCCACAACTACTGAGCCTGTGTGCCACAACTACTGAAGCCCGTGCACCTAGAGCCTGTGCTCTGCAGCAATGAGAAGCCTGCGCACCGCAACGAAGAGTAGCCCCTGCTCACCTCAACTAGAGAAAAGCCCTCGCACAGCAATGAAGACCCAATGCAGCCAAAAATAAATAAATAAAATAAATTTATTTTTAAAAAAAAGAAGTCGGGGAGAAAATCTATCCATCCACTGAAATTGGTGAAAATGTAATTCTCGTACTTACTAATAAATCATTATTAATCAAGCCATTGATAACATGCTTCTCATTTTTAACAGAGATCACGTGGTGGAGAGACTCCATGAAAGTAATGATCAATGTGGGGAAGGCTTCAGTCAGACTCCAAATCTTAACCTGTACCAGAAAACTCTTACTGGAGTAAAAAGGTATGAATGCAGTACACATGGAAAAGTCTTCACGCATCATTCATCCCTCAAGAGTCACATCGCTGTTTGCACTGGACACAAACCGTATCAATGTCAGGAATGTGGGCAGGCCTACAGTTGTCGTTCACACCTAAGGACGCATGTGAGGACCCACAGTGGAGAGAGACCCTATGTGTGTAAATTATGTGGAAAAACTTTTCCTCGTACTTCTTCCCTTAACCGGCATATAAGGATTCATACTGCGGAGAAAAGCTATGAATGTCAGCAATGTGGAAAAGCCTTCATTGATTTTTCAAGTCTTACTAGTCATGTGAGAACACATACTGGAGAGAAGCCATATAAATGTGAGGAATGTGGGAAAGCTTTCAGTTATTCCTCAACTTTTCGAAGACACATGATAACACACACTGGAGAGAAGCCCTATAAATGTATGGAATGTGGGGAAGCCTTCAGTTACTCCTCAACTTTTCGAAGACACATGATATCACACACTGGGGAGACACCACATAAATGTAAGGAATGTGGGGAAGCCTTCAGTTATTTCTCGGCTTTTCGAAGGCACATGATAACACACACGGGGGAGAAGCCCTATGAATGTAAACAGTGCGGGAAAACCTTCATTTATCTCCAATCCTTTCGAAGCCATGAAAGGATTCACACTGGAGAGAAGCCCTATGAATGCAAGCAATGTGGAAAAGCCTTCATTTATCCCCAGTCATTTCGAAGGCATGAAAGGACACATGGTGGAGAAAAACCCTATGAATGTAACCAGTGTGGTAAGGCATTCAGCCACCCCTCATCCTTTCGAGGACACATGAGAGTGCACACTGGAGAGAAACCTTACGAGTGCAGGCAGTGTGGAAAAACTTTCAACTGGCCCATATCCTTGCGAAAACATACAAGAACACACACTAAAGAGAAACCCTACGAATGTAAGCAATGTGGGAAAGCCTTCAGTTTGTCCGCTTGCTATCAAGAGCATGTGAGAATGCATCCTGGAGACAAATCATATGAATGCAAGCTCTGTGGGAAAGCTTTCAGTTGCCACATCTCGTTACAAAGACACATGAGAAGGCACACTGCTGAGAAGCTTTATGAATGCAAGCAATGTGGGAAGGCCTTCAGCTGGCCTGAACTTTTGCAACAGCACGTGAGGACGCACACTGCAGAGAAACCTTACAAATGTAAGGAATGTGGTAAAGTCTTCAAATGGCCCTCATCTTTACCAATACATATGAGAATGCACACTGGAGAGAAACCATATGAATGTAAGCAGTGTGGGAAGGCCTTCAGTTGTTCCTCATCCTTAAGAAGACATGTGAGGATACATACTACCAAGAAACACTACATATGAAACTCGGGAAATCTTCCTGCAAATGAATTCATGCACAGTGCTTCAGAAAATTCACATCAGGAGAGAAATCTTACAAAAGTTGTAAACCTGGTATTGCCTTTATGAGTCCTTCATCACTAAAGTGGACCCATAGGGAGTGTATTTCCAGTTCTTTTGCAAATAAACATTTAGATGAAAATTAACTGTTGAAGTGCTCTTTTGGCTACAGTACGTAAATTTTGCAGGAAGTGTTTTTTCTTATGTTTTAGGAAATAAAGCATCTTTACAGTTTGTTGGACTCATGGGTGATTTGAAGCGTATTTTTAATATATAAGTAGTTTTAATATGTTAGTTCTTTAAATTGTCCTTAAAGGGGTTATTGGAACAATGACAGTGTGGTATTTGTTTGTATTTTCCTACTGGCTTAGTGTGGCAGATACTGTATAATCAACCATTATGTTTTCCACCATGGATTGAGAGAATATTTGTTTATTTAGGACAGTGGAATCTTATTCTGTTTTTCTTCTAAATATTTGGCAGAAATTTTTAATTATGCAGAGTTCTTCCAAGTGTACAGTCTCATGTGAATTGTTACTTTCAGCTTTTGCCCTTCGCTTTGTCCTTGCTTGTGATAGTGAATTAAACAGTGGGTTTTTACTTAAGAGACGCTTGTGATGTGATCATGAGATACAGAGTTCTGGATTGTGTTACATCAGCATGGGTAATGTTAGGAGCTACAGTTCCCAGAATCCCTTCCCTTTATGATTCTGTGTTTGAATTTACCAGTAGCCTATTGGCATGAGATTTGGAAGGCAGAAATAAAGCCATTACTAAGTTTTTGCAGCCACATTAAAGTATGAGAGAGAGATGCATAGGGGCTACTTGGAAACCAGCTTTCAGCCCGTTTTCCTGATTGTTGGCCTTACCAATCAAGAGTATCATCAAAAGAAATGCCAAGTACTTGATTTCTATTTTTCTCAGAGTTATAGGCTTCCATAAATACCTTCAAGAGCTTGGTGTCAGGGATTCAGTCATGTGGTCAGGCACTCACAATTTGGATTTTCCTACAAACCCTAACATGTCCTGCAGACCACTAATTCAGACTCATGTTTAGTGATCTCTGATGCTGTGATTCCACTCTTCTCTAGATGTTAACATATTTTACAAGGTCTAATTTGTATAGCAGACTCTTTGTTCTCAAAACTTTTACTGACGCTCTGATCGTGATTCTACCACAAAAGCTACAATGTTGTAGGAAAACAAAACAACCTGTGAGACTTTGTTAAGGTATTGTATTTTTTTCCTTTTCTCTTTTTTTTTTTCCGGCTGCACCATGTGTCACGCAGAACTTCCCTGACCAGGGATCAAACCTGTGCCCTCTGCAGTGGAAGTGCAGAGTCTTAACCATTGCATCACCAGGGAAGTCCTACTGTATTTTTAAATGCGCTGACTCAGTCCTACATGAGAACAAACATACTCCTCGTGAATTTGGGGAGATGTCTGTTAGAGCTGAATGCAGTTCCTTGATATGGGTTTAATTATTATGTTTGATTCTAAGTCACTAAAAACAGTGTTTCTTTTCTTTTTTTTTTTTTTTTTTTTTTTTTTTT